TCTCCTCGCGGGAGAAAAAAAAAAAAAAAAAAAAAAAATCAGTGAACTGAATTATGTGGCTGTGTAGCTGCCTCTGAAGACTCAGGGCTTTGAAGCAATGTCCAGATACACTTTAGGAAACAAACAAGCAATAAGTGGGATGTTTTAATGGCCATTCTACACTAAAGTACTGAAGGCCTAATAGCCTTCTTTGCCTTTACTTCTAAATGTTAACTACCAGACGTTGGCTCAGCATCTTCCTTCTCTGGCCAGGAGGAGCCCTATCTGTGCTAAAGGTAATTAATGTTTCTTGATCAACCAGCCTGTGAGAACTCTTACTATGTGTCACTCCCATAATAGCAAAGAGCACAGCTTTCTACTTGTAAAAAGATAAAAGCATTTCAAACAGGGTGATGCCAGAAATCTCTGCACACTCTTATCTGATGGAAATCACAGCAGCCACCAGTTAGCACATACCTTGGCGCAGCAGCAGACCATCCCGTAATAAGCATATATAATAAACACAGCCAGGCTGGGCATAATGGGGACGAGGAATCATGGGAACCTCCTGGACGAAAAAAGAAAAAAGGAAGGAAATTCTGAGATGCCCACCATAATCAGTGCAAAAATGGGGCTGATATCCTTTTGGAAATATGCAGAAGTGGATAGAGAAGAAGAATTGACACTTAACGTGATTAAACCTAAACCAAGGAAGCTATACTATAAAGTGAGAATCCCACAGTGGTCTTGCCAATCTCAATAAATATAAATGCAAGAGCTGCTTTAGTTTATAACTGTAGTAATGAAGAGGAGACTTTTTTTTACCCTGTTCACTGATCGAGGTTCACACTGCTCACACAAGTAGTGTTCAACATCAGAATTCACACCCATACAGTCACAGTGCTGCCAGACCTAGAAAAACAGATACAACCCAATTAGAAATTCCTGTGATAGATCTTATTTACAAATTGCATTTTCTCAAAAATACTAAGGAAAGCAAGAAAACAAGCTTCCCAAAGGAAATTCAAGATTTTCTTTGAATGCCTTGAACACTTCTGACACTATGTCAGAAGACAGACAAGATCCCCATGAAACTGTGTGTGTAAAAGCCCAAAATTGTTGAAATTAATTCTGCTCGCCTAAAGACAGGAGTTGCTGGCAGTTTCAGAAAAGTGCTAGCTCCTCTATATAGAAATACAATTTGCATTTCCTCTGTGAAAACAGAATCTCTCAATTCTTTTGGAGAGGAAATGAAGGTCTGAAGACGTAATTAATGCTACTAGATACATGGAAACTGCTGGTAAAAGTTCCACTGGTTATGACGAACGGAAAAAGAGCACCAGGCTCCATTTTGTGTTCCCCCCGCCTCACCATGCACTTTTCACACTGGATCATGAGTCCTTCATCTTTGTAAAGGCCACAAATGCAACGGATCACATCCTCGTCCTTCTCATGTCCGTTTTCTTTTTCACAGACCGATGTCTCGCTGCTGTCAGCTTCACTTGCTGTTTCTCCCACAATTTCATCAATTTGGGCAGATGCCTCATGGCGAGCATTATAATATGCTTTCCGTAGCCGGCACACATCACGCCCAGTTGGAGATTTTCTGCCATAATATTTCTGAATAAAAACCAAACACAGAAACAAAAAAAAAAAAAAAATTTTTCCCCAGGTTCCATGCTTTTGGTGCATTCCTCCTGTCTGCATGCACCCTTACAGGTGTTTTCACTAAAGCTGCATCCACCAATGTGGTATACACCTGTCCATCTACTTCCTTATTTTGAACAGCAGGTCCATGTATCTTACATATGACACTGAAGAACAAGGTATCTCTTTCAAAAGGTACTGAAATTTCTTTAGGTTAGCTGTTCATGCATGTTCTTGACCTTCTATTTGTCTGACCTAAGGCAACCAAAAAGCAGTAAGAGTAAGCTGAAGCACATGAATTGCTATCAAGCTCTGTTCATCAGAAATGGATCATCACAAGTTCTCTTTCTCTAAAATATTTTTCTTCTTTTATTACTATAAGTCAGCAAGAGCATCAAACTAGGGTATATCCCCGCTGCCTATGCAACAGCTTTAAGGCCAGAGAGAGCCTCACCTCTGCATTCCGGAAGACCTTCAGCATGTCCCCATCAAAAGCTTCCACAGTTTTATAATAGCCAGTCAAGATCTGTTTCTCAATTGTGGCAAGGTCCAATGGGTCAGAGATCTTTTCATAATAGTCTGCATTTCTAAAATGGGAATGTATGCACAACGTCATTTTCACTAGCATTTCAAAGCTGTGCAAATCCATTATAGAAAACTATGGGTTGCCCTGAGAAGCAAGTACTTACTTTTTCTTTGGGGGTAGGTTCAGGAGGGGAGCTGCAAGAGCCTGCCTGGAGGAATCTGTAACAGGAACACACAGTTTAGCAACATTTACTTGAGTAAAACTTAAAAAGACAAGTAACTAACAACATTCAATTTAGGTTAAAAAAAGACTCTTTTACTATCTGAGGCACAGGGAATTGAAATGCTTTTGCATTTCTAGAAGTTGGTTGCTGTAATCAGACTACATGTATCAAAATGGAGGATAGTTTCCTTGCAATTCTGTCAATTGTACCATTTTGCTGAACTACTGAAAAATCAATTTAAAAGGATAGCAACATCTGCAGATTCTGGTGGCAGAGGAAGGGGTGGAGGATAAAGCAAAGTGATTACTGGTAGCAGAAGAAAGGGGGGAAAAAAAACCCGGAAGGTTATTTAATGTCCTGAAATAAACTCATTTTCTTCTAGTTTTTTCTATTCAGAGAGTCCATTGTTCCAGAGGCTAAAAAAGTCTCCATGGAGATTTTTTTAGGAGTGTCACCTTCACCTTTGTAGGATATGATGCTATCACATATTTCCTTGAAGATTTGTGCTAGGCGGGCAGCACGAGCCACTTCAATATTCTCTTCAGCTGCAGCCAAGCGTCGTGTTCTCACAGAGCGGGAAGTCTGAAGGGCTGAAAACTGGGTCATGAAGACGTCTGAAAGAGGGCAAAAAAGAATTATCTCTAAACAAAAAATTAAAGATCAAATTACAGCATCTTTTCCAATCCAGCAACTCCACCACCAATTATTAAAATTAACATGTTTTCTAAGCTACTATAAAAGGCTTCAGTTTCATATTCCCAAGTTGGATCTCACTGCTTGTAGCTCATCTAAATGGTTAAGCTGGTTATCAAAGTATTTTATGTTGCTGGAGCAAATACAGCATGTCATTGAATTCACCCAAAATACTCACTTTCCAACTTCTCATGTACCTGACAGTGGGGAGCAAATCCTGCATGACTGTGAAGATTATGGTCCTACGAATAGAGTGCTATTTTTGGAGCAGGATTAATACATTTTTTCTGATAGTCGTATTTTGTCCCCTTCCCATAACTGACTGCATGCCAAAAAGCTTTGTTCTCTAAAGGTCTGAAATCCATCGAATTATGAGGATAAATGACAATTTTCAAAGTCAGCACAACTGTTTCTGGTCTAGGGATACAGAAAGCAGAAAACAGCCCTTCTCTGTAAGGGTCCAATCATGGAGAATGTTAAATATCCTCCTCCTCCTCCTCTGATAAACCACTCTTGATGAAACGCGAGACATGACAACTTCTACCAGGACTTGAGAGACATCAGGGCTGCTGGAGGAACACAAACGGATCCAGCAACCAGACAAATGGTTTATACAGTACAAACTTCTCATTCTTAAGAAAATAGCATTAAGTGTTTCAGAGGAAATTGCAGAATCCCACAATGCAAAAAATACACTGAAACAGTGGAAGAGCTTCTGTCTTACCCCGCTGTGTAAAGATAAGGGCATACATACACAAACACATATATAGGTATTGTTATCTGTATAGCATTCCCTGTATGCACTGCAAAAGCTATATGGATCTTGTAGTCACTCTACATCTGATTTATACACAGAGCTTACTTAAACTCTTCACGGGCATGTCATATAGGTTCTCAAAGTAGCAACCTGAGGAACCTGTGTCAGCCTCACCAGATTTAATGTTGCCGTCATCCCGACAGATTCCATTCCAGCGGTTACTGTATAGCGATGTGGTATGGATATTGTCACTGACGTGCTTCACTTCCTCTTGTTTTTGTCGAATCTTTTCCCAGTTTCGTACCAAAAATACATGGTGTTTTAGCACAAAATTCCTACAGAAATTAGAAAAGCATTCAAGAAGCACCTTCTTACTGTAAAATGAATCCTTTAATGTGGGGAAAAAGACAGATATTCAGAGGTACACTTCTGATGTCAGTGGAGAGGAATTCCACCCTAGCTGGTTAAAGGAGAACTAAGAACTGCTTACTCAGACATTTCATGATGCCCTAATCTTATAGAAAAAAATAACTTCAACATTTGCACAACACTCCATTTCTGAGGAAAAACCCACTGAAATCATTCCTTACCTTTCTCTGTTAGACATGGGCTTCATCTGAAGCTGTGGTGTCAGCCTTGTCGGCGCGTTCACACTTTCACTGGGTTCCTCTGGAATGTGGCCCCTCTGGAAAACAGATCATTCTGATAGACAGGAAAAACTGTGCCAAGAACTTAGCAAAGCAGTAAAAGTAGTTCCTGAGACAGAACCTGTAATATTTCTCTGTAGTACTTCTCTGAAGTTTAAAATATACAAATACATAGTTTTTTGGTCTGATGGCACAAACTGATTTCCTATTAACCTTTATCCATGGAAAAAAGCTGTCTTTACTACTTACTCTCTTCTTTAGTTTGTGCTTTGATTTCCTTTTCTCTTTCGACCGTCCAGGCCTTCTGTGGGTGCTCACAGGCTGATTGCTTTTGCTTGAAAGTCCATTCATTCGCTGACTTTTACCCCCAATTATTCCTCTGCATTTGTCAAAACCACATTTGCAGAGTTGCTTTGGGGGGGGAGGAAAAAAAAATTATTTTAAATAAACCCCAAAACATTTAGATTATCTCTCAATATTATAAAGAACCTGTTCTGTCAAATACAACACAACAGGTTTTGTTAATCGACCTTCAACTTTACAGAACTGTTTGTCCTTGGTGAGTTTTTTCAAGGTCTTTCACTGTGATCCTTACATTTTTTTCAACATTAAATGAATGAAAATTGTAGTCGTAAGTCAATTCAGTACCAGCAGGCATGTCTTTAAGTGCATACAATCCAATCCGGTAAACACCATTAACAGACCTGCAGGGAAAATACAATAAAATATTCCCAATAATTAAAAAGAAAATTGTCTTTGTCCACATAGTGGAAGTGTTAGAGACAGGAAGCAACACTTCTGCTGTGCCCTGGATTATGCTTGCTCTTCATGTGTACTGTTCTCTTGTTTATCTCTTACAATAAACTCTGAAAGCCAAAAATGTGAATACCGTATTTACAAAGAGTAGGAAGTTGTGCTTCAAACAGAGAAGCTACAAACTATATTGGCTATCACGGCATCTACTTATCAGCCGCCAAGATTCATGCCCTCACCCTAAATCAAAAGCTTACGTTGAACATCATACCTCATTTCACAAAATGCACTAAAATTATTTGTCTCTCCAATTCTGTTACTTATTTTTTGTGTTGGATTTTAAAATTTAAAACCTGATTACTATTGCTTAAATCCACTAGAATTATCTGACAATCAGAAGCTACTCTGCTGTACTGCCACCACAGCTGATTCCTATTACGACCATCTGCTATTTCACTGTAAGTTATTAATTATAAATTTCTCAGAAGTACTTCCTACTAGTCTGGCACTGGACTTCTTCTGATAACATAGTACTGGTATGACACAGGGTGTGCTGAAATCAGACTACTTCCCTGTTTGCCTGCTTTAAAAAAAATATTTGAATTGCCAGAAGGAAAGAATATATAAACATAGATTATTTTACGGCATTACCTAGGCTTCAAAATTTGTAGCACGTTAACAGTGTGACAAACAACACTGTTGGATTTGCCTTGCCAGAAAACTTAGATCCTGTCTCCAAAATGTCCAACACTTGAAAACATTACATTACTTGTCTTATACAATGCAAACATGATAGTAAATATTATTTACACTGTTCAGCTTGATTCCCCTCCCTATTTTTAGATCAGATTCCCTCAGATGATCTGGTTATCTATATCTTAGTCACTGGTATACCAGTCTTCCAGTAAACAGAATATATTTTTCTTACCATTTCTGCATCTCACAGTTAGGATTACAGCTGTGGTTGATAAAACGAGCCTCATTGCCCATACGATAACTATCTATCACCATTCCACTGTCTAAATTCAGGCAGTAATGATCACTGTGATTATGGTACTGTTCAATCATCCGGTTCCTAGGAAGCAACACAGGAAAGTTATTTGTGATTCTGCTTGTTGCTGCAAAGCAAGCAGGGAGTAACATAGTAATAGTGCATTCAAGAATTCTGAGAGAGGGTTTTGAAGAAAAAGCAATTATAATCTTGTATATTTTATAGAACCATACACCTAGAGATGGAGGAAAACCATTATTATACCTATTTTTATAAGTCAAGGCCATTGACAGAGCTTGGATTAGAATTTAGAAATTTGCTCTTCTGGAATGCTCCCTTTTGGGTTCTGCAGATTATTTGTACACATTTCATGTTGATAACCTGTGTATGGAAGAGAAAATGCAAGTGTACATTCTTTGGTGTGTATATGTATGCATGTGTACAACAATCAGCCTCTCCCTTTCATTATCTGGGACTGGACACAATTTCTGGAATTAGATCCATGGATTACAGCTACCTCTTTTTAGCAAGAGAGCAACAGTAACAAGAGTCAGTTGTGTTAGCAGTTATCTCTGTATGAGAAGATTGCATTTGTCTTCTGATGGAGCTCTAAGAGTAGCAAGTACATCCCTCCAATCTCAATTATCCTATGATGCTATGTAGTTACCAAGACTACGATTTCTTTCTTTCACTGGTTATTAATGCTCCCACTTGTTCTTTTTTCTTCATACCTATCTGCAAAAGCTCATTTCCCTTCCTGCCCCATTCTGCCCCTCAATTCTATCTTGCACAGTTCAAATCCTGCACAGTACTCATAATTATATCAAATTCACATTCACCCGTGGCATTTGGCATTTACAGAGCAGATGTGGCAGATGATGCATTCCAAACACTAATCATTCCTCTCTGTTTGACTGAGAAAAACTTGGTTGATCAAAAAAGCTGAATTCTAAGCCTTCCTTCTGGTGGCCTGTGACCAGAAAAGCATTCCTTTTTTCCCCTTACTCTCTCTTTCGTTTCTGTCTAAGGATTTCCTAGCAATGATAATAGATGCTAAAGTAATTTATTGAGCCTTCCATGCTAAAGCAGCAAATAAATATTTCTACCTGAATTCTTGCTCACTAACAACTTCTCCCAGATATTCAATGATAAACTGTCCTGCTTTCAGGGGTTCTTTGGTACGAATACCCCATCCTTTCTCCTCAGCCCGGAACCTTTCCAGGCACTGCACCCATTCATGCCTCTGTATCCGCTGATTACAACACTGTTCACCACAAGGGCAGGTGTTTGGTGAACACTCGGCAAAGATCATCCTAAAATAAAAAACAAAGAAGTTAAAGGAAGATGAATAGCATACTTTTAGATCTATCATACAAGGGGAAAAAATTTCCTGTTAAACAAAAATTATTAAAGAACTAAAATGCTTCTTGTTTTCAAGGTATAATTCACACAAAGATTCAGACTGGCTCTCACTGCTATTCAAAGAGTAAAATGGAGCTTTTAATGGGATCTTCCTCTGAAGAAAGAGGTGGGGGAGCATACGTGCTGTATGCTCTGTAACAATACTTTTAGTACTGGGGTTGCATCCAGCACAACTCTTTTCTTAAAATATTATTAGTTGATGTGAAATATTACATTTATTGAAATTCTCTTATAGTCAGTCAACCTATTTCTAACCTGTTAAGACAGTCCTCCACACAGCCCTTTCCGTTGTCATCATCTGGTTTCTTACAATTGCAGGTAGTAGCCTCATAGCCAGAAAGAGGCTTGACATCCACATAGACATCTGGAGAGGAAAAAAAAAAACAAACAACCAAAAAACCCAAACCCAAACAGGGAAAAGAATTCTTTCCAGGTGAAAGAATAGAACTATTTATGTACAGTATTTTCATTCCAACTACACAAAGCAGAAAAAGAAAGCGGAAGTGTCTTTGGTAGGACCAAGAGCATGACAGAAAGGAGGGGTGTCATGTGAAAATTCCACAGTTAACATTTTAGTAAAATAAGATTTTACTTACTAGAACGGATTTTTTTATAAAGTGGGACATCTGGCTTTTTATACAACTAAAAGGAAGAGAAAGAAAATTTAAATACATTGCATAAGTGCATCTGCTATTCAAAAGAATCAGGGAAATTATGTTCTGTACATACGTAACAGTTTTGTAATCATTACTAGAAAATATGTCTGCGTTCTCTTCTTTAGGCTCAGACTACATTAGCAAATAGGTCAAGAAAAGTACCTGACAAAGTAGAACTTAGGCTTAATGAGTTAGCTGAGCAGTTCTTCTAACATAGTTTATTCTTCCCATACTATCTGAACAGAGCAATATGGATAACAGATATCATGAGGACAGACTATTCTGAACAATGCTGTTCTTTTCAATACTGAAAAGAAGAATAATTATTTAAATCTACTTTGGACAAACCCTCTTTGGTGGAATTACCATGTGCTGACACTTAAAAAAGTGAAAAAGAAAAATTAAGGTGTTTAGCAAAACTGTGACTACAGGTAGGAGCCAAGAGAAATGCAGATTCATCTTCTAATTAGAGAAACTTCCTCTGCAGATGGAGATGACTGGAGGGAAAAGGGAAGCTCAGATCACATTTCATAACTTCATATATGTTCCGTCCTTTCAAACAAGCTTTAAGGAATAATTTCAAATTATTACATATTTCACATACATTTACTGCATTAATAGCCTTCCCTCAGTAACATATATGGCAGATAGGCACTGTACAAACTATAAAACCATTGTACAAATAAAACTGCTCTGTAAGGGTTTTCAATATTCTAGGTAGCTACAGAAAATGTTGAGGAAATAGATCACACATTTATTATTTATGTAATATTGAATAGATAAGATAGGCAGATGTAAGTAATCTTCAATACATGGCAAGAAACTGTCCTCAGCTGAAATGTCAACAACAATCATTACTTTAAGATTAGATTTTGGTGGTATTACAAAGAGTAGTTGGAGCCACAACCACCCGGGAATTTGTCTTGCTCATTTACATGCTTAAGTTACACGTCTGGGAGCGCTTTCTTGCAGTAGAGCTGGGGACAGATTTACCCTCCAGCCTTAAATCCTGTGTTAAATCACTCGGTGGAAACTTCTCAGGGAAAAAAATATTCCTATTTTTAGGTTTGCACATATTTAAAGCTCTTTAAAAAGAATGTGACTGTTAAACAGTTTCTCTTCTTTCCTCAGTATGAAAATGTCAGCTTGCAAGTGAAAAATAAATTCCACTCTGCTGGGATTGATCCAAGAAAAATAAGGCCTGAAATTTCTCAGTGCTGTTGGCAGTACATCTGAATTCTCCTGAGGCGTGTCTAAAACAAGATCATCGCAGAAAGCAGGCACACTACCAAAATAAAAGTCTGCAGCAAAATTAATGACTTTTTTTTCAGCAGAAACCCATAGGATTGCTATTTTGCAAGAGATGGAATAATGGAAATTATTCACATTAAATACATATGCAAATCCTTTTTTTCCTCATACAGTGGCAGCAACAAGAATATTCATCAATATACAGGATATATAAACACAGCTTTCATGTAAGAACCCTGCTATTTTCTTTCTAAGACTTCTGATCATAATCTTGGCAACCAGTAACTTTTTATCTTGTACCTGATTGTGTTTCCACTGCCAGAGGATGTCGTAAGGCAGCTGGAAGTCAATTCTCTTTTGTCTGAGATACTTTCCTGAAACAAAAAGGTTTGTAAGTTGCACACACTCATATTCACATATCCCCAAGAGGAAAAAGGGCTGCTCCTAGGCACATCGCCAAATTCTGACAGGGCCTCTCGACATCTGAAAGTCAAAAAGGCAGAAGAGCAGAATTCTCCCAGAACATTGTCTGTTAGTGGCAAGCAGAGGGAAGAGCCCTCCACGACGCTCTCTTTTGCATTCTACTCTGTTGTAGTCAGGTTTAAACCTTTATCGACAGCGAGGAAAGCTGCTGTCTTAGATACAAGATGCCTGGTGGGGTAGGCGGCAGAGGGGAGCTGCCTTCTGCTTGGATGACTGAACGTTACGGATGCCATTGAACTCCAACAGTCACAGTTAAACTCTTAAAAGCAGTGCCAGGAACCCTGCAGGTGTTCACCTGGGAGGGGTCACTGAACGTGAGCTACCAAAGGGACAACAGCAAATAACTGACGAAACTGAATACAACTCTGTGCCTTACAGTAAACACTAGTAACTTCTGTGTAGAAGTCTCAAAGTTGACACTTTCTCCTGAGCTCTTCTGTGTACACAGGAATACAAAGACGTAGCACAGAGAACAAATTATGCACTAAAAAAAAAATCTGCATGCACAATTCATGCAAGATGGTAAGTCACAATTTTGTACTCAAAGAAACCAAGTTAGTTTTGAAAATAGTATCCAAGCCCTTCTACGACCTTTACCAAAACAGACTTAAGAACTAATTCAGACTTAGCAAACACATTCCTAGATGTTTTGGAAAGACTTCAAGATGATCTATATTTTCAGCAATAAGTGAAACTCATTTTAGACAGGAGTTACTACTTTCATTGTAGATTTCATCTCTATTTTAAAATTTACTGTCACCCCTAACCTCTTCCCAAAAGAAGGAAACTGACCCATTACATACTTTGTTAACATAAGACCTGAGGTCTGACACTAAGTTAGTTCTAGCCAAGATTAAAAAGTTCTCTTATCATTTTGTTGGAATACTGTGTCACAAAATTGCAGTGAGAAGAGTGACTAAGGATGAGGTGTCAGTCCCATGTTTGATTTTCCCAGCTTTTCTAAATGTTAACAAGTGCCTTTACGTTCCTCCAGCAATAGTCTGTGGTTTCATGTAAATTCACATGCATACCCTCACAACTGGAAAATAAAAATTGTAATGTTTTCCTTACAATTTACTCCTAAATTACTTTTCATTTTCAATGCTTTATTCATCCATAGCAGGTTCCAGGAAAGAGCTAAATCTGCTGGGAATTTGCTTTCACTTCTATGACCTCAGCGGGCGAAACAAAAGGCTCTTTCAGGTGCCCTGGCACCGTGCCTGGAGTGCATGGAAGGTCCCTCCAGCCCTCGTCAAGTGGGCACTAGTGCAGTCATCTGGTAGAGTCCTAAACCCTGTAACTCTGCCCTGCAGTTAAGCCACTCTCCAGCTACCCGATAGAGGGTAATCGAAGCAGCTTTATCTTCAGTGCAGGAGCTTGTTTGTGCCTGCTAGCACGAACAAACGTGGGGTCGGGGCCTGATGAAGAGAAAAAGAGGACAGGATCGTGGCACTGCAAACTGAACCTGAGCATCCCGACAGATGGTTCGGTCATGCAACAGAGTTATATGACCCAATTCAAAAAGGAATAGAGAAAGGTCACGTTTTTGAGAATTTAAATTAACACCTTCAGTTCTGAAACCCGTTTTGCAGTTACTGATTCACACAGATCTGTCAAAGTCTTCGCCTGCTATCAACTCTCTGTGAAAGTCAAAGTTGTGTATGGAGCAAAAAAGTTCAGTTAAAGAAGACAAACCAATTAAACGTTTGTATTTGATGGGACAAATATTCCTACAGAACAATGTGGAATTTCCCGAACTCTCTTTGCATGACAGTACTTGAAGTAAGAAATCACAGCATTTTAAAAGCTGAAACAATTATCTGAAAAATAAATCAATCTTGGTTTGTCCTGGCAAATGACATGAGCTGCAAAAACGTTAGCCTGGGAGTTCATGGCCATCCCCTCCAAGCAGTCCAGTCCAGTGGTCTGGACTTCTGAACAGCATCCCGGAACTCCGTGAGTTCTAAATGCTCGTGCTAACCTTAGGTTATGGCTTCTTTCTGCAGAAGGCAAAGAGAAGCCCTAAACCTCATTTCTGTTCTACCCAAGACTTCAAAACAGGGATGAAATAAAAACTACATAATAGCTAAGTTTTTCATTCTCCCTCACTTTTATCCACGCTTAAAGACAGACATCATTAAATGCATGGGGACATGGGGGAATTTATTATTGCATGCTTAGTTTTTGAGATTTAACAAATGGTTATAATTGTCTCTGGCTATTCTACTGTAATATTAGTTTGAAAAGGAGACTACTGTACTGCATTTAAGCAAAAGTATTATGGCAGTTAAAGCAGGTTTTAAACTAGACTGGCATTTTCTTATGGTAAACAAAAAATGGGAACAAAGTTCACGTAGGGAAAAAAAAAAAGCCTCTCGAGAAAACTTTTGCACTGAAGAACACAGACAGATGAATATGACCTTTGGCAAAGTTCATATGCTGAAAGACATGAGTAACCTGGCAAGGTGATAAAATAAAAAAAGAAAAAAGGGAGAGAGGTAGAGAGATTGTGACTTCCAAACAGACTACTTCCATGTCACCTAAGTGCGGCACTTGTCTCCCAACAACTAAAACACACATGAAGTACCCACCAACGTGAATAGGGGCTGGAAACAATCCATGCTCATGCTCTCCAGGAGTGTACTCAAGCTTTTCTTTCTTTAATTGTATGAGGCGGCTCTTCGGACTGTGGATGACAGCGACAAAAAAAAAGAAATCAGAATGAGGAACACCTGTCATTTGCACAAAACACACTTTCTGTTTTAATTAAGGCACGAATGTCTAGAATATCAGGCAAGAGAATAATAGAAATGGCCAAAAAAACTGATTTCCAGGTTGCTTGCCAAATACACTTATCACATCCATTTAAAAACTCGTGATTTGATTTTTCTCCATAACTACTATTCAGGCAACACCTAATGGGACACCATCAACTTTAAATTCCTAGTATGTGATATGAAAGTAATAACTAAAGATTACAAAAATAAAAGCAGATCAACAAATCATATCTGATGTTGCTTGCTTAGGTATTTGACATGTTATACATGTACGGTGCCTGCTTTCCTAATTTGCTAAGAACAAATGTTCACATGCTACTCCTTTAGAAGGCTGTTCATCAAGAAAAGCAGGAAAAGAACAGAAATCAGTCAAAAAAGCAATGAGACACCCCCTTTACAGAAAGAAAAAATAGGAATACGGAATAAGAATGGTTGTACGGGTCAGGCAGCAGTCAAACCACCTAGCTCAGTAACCTGTCTTTTATAAACATCTCCTTTTGGCTACTGACAAAGTATGGAAAGAAAAAACTGATGTGGTTATATTTAGGTACTGCAGCCCTGTAACATTCAGAAGAGACTTCTAAATGTTAAATATATCAAAGTTTAAAATTATACTAAAGCCTATTAAAGTTTACTGAAGTTTTTTTAAGGGGTTTATTTTAATAACTGGACATACAACTGAAAGCTGACTCAATAAAAAATGTGATATTGTTTAACTAGTGAATGGAAAATGCAAGTTAAAAACAAATTTTGAGCTACAGATAGCAACAACTGAAAATAATTACTGAAGGTTAGAAACAGAACTGATAGATTGCAGTAATTTGTGGTTCACATACTCTTCTAATACTTTCTGGATTTCTGGTACTTATTTCACAAGTATAACAAATTAACAAATTTTAGTGAAATAAAAGCTAAGGCATACTGCTGAAACGAAGGCTCTGTTGAGCTAAATGCTGTGTACACTGTCCATTAAACAACTCTCCCTTTAATAGAGTTATATGGCAAGGCTTTAGTTATTATGATACACTTGCATTTAACTTAATGTACACAGGTGGACACATAGCTATCCTAATCAAAAAGCAGTAACATTCTCTCAAACAATAAAGGTTATGGTTTTTAAATAATATGACCCTCTGTTTACTGATGGCAGGAATTAATTTCATTTGTTTTGGCAAACAGACAGCACCTTTGCCCACCAGGCAAAAATTATATTCTAGAGAGGATTAAAAAAAACCCCCAAGCCCCAACTCATGTCTTCTACCCTTTCAAGTTGTGCTGCACTGAATCACTAAGACTTGCAAAGAAAGGCCATAAAGTAACTCCTTACAAGACCTGGAAAGCAAGTTCTTATCAAACGGAAAAGGAAAGGTATTTTGAAAAGGCAAAGTGTGAACCTCCATTTCCAAGAGGCAAGCAAATCCTTAAGCCAAAGGCAGAGAAAAAAGGAAAAACTTTCAATAGAAAGGTGACTTAATTCAAGCCAAATGTGCACCCTTTAACGCCCACATATTCAGTGTAAAGGAAGCCAACGGAAAAATAAATTATGGCAAATAAACTGCAAGGAGGAAACCAGTGTGGAAAGGAAATGCAGAAGGCAATTATCTAAAACCACAAACATTAATTTCTCCAGGCACTGCAGACACACCCGTCTTAGACCTAGTCACAAAGAACGCTGGGTAAAGCACCTACTCTGTTTTCCTTCCAAACACAGCGATGGAAGTATTGTTAGAGGCATGTAAAAAATTGTTATGAGAAATCAGTAAGCTGAACAAAGGCCATCAATACTTTAGGGACTTCAGAGGGAAAGGCTGAGATGTCAAAATAAAGCATAATTATTAATGAAAAAAGGGAATATACTAAAATAATCAAGTATAAACAATACACGCAGTTTTATAAACATAAATACCATGCAAAAAAAGCCTCATTAATTAAAAAAGGCCTCTCTACACTATCAAGAAAAGGTCTGTATTAACATGCCCACATATTCCCACTAGGAAGATAATGAGCTATTTTAGGCTGGGGTTTCTGGGCAGGCAATAATGGTTCTGGTTTTGTGTTTAGCTACTATCTTTACGAGAAGCCTCTCCCTTTCACTTTGCTGAGGCATGCTGATAGCCTTGCAGAAGCTTAAACTCAGCGTCAGGGCTCCGAGTGCCACCAACACGCCTTTATGACCCCGACCAGCTTCACAGGGGGCTTCCACCCACACCCTCTGCCCATGGCCCCTGCAGATCCATTTACGCTCAGCCCTGGACATTCAGTCCCTGCCTGGACTGCCTCGTGGGTGCACCCATCTCCAGCTCAGCCGCAGCCACGGGAACTGTGGATCTGGTGGCTGAGCCATGCACCGGATTCCTGGCTTGACACTGGATCTGCCTGGCAATCCTGGACTGTATCTGACCCCGGTTACCATCACTAGACCTGATCCTGACCTGCAGATTGGCTTCCCCACTTAACCTTGGCCTGCCTCATCACCACAGACTGGTCTGGCAATCCAGACTCTCGGCTGACGCTGGGTATCATTGCCTGGTCTGTCCGACTCACCTCACTTGGGGCTGTGGGACTGACAACAGGTTTCCTTTGCTACTGCTCGGATCACATTCTGTTCGTGTCATTTTTTTAACCAGGCTGGAATACTTACTAGCTAGATACACCTCACTACTGATGGTGCAGGTCGCAGGAATTCCCAGGACTAAACCGACTGTCCTCACAGCCTCCTAGGATCAGTTGACTCTGCGCTGCTATCAAGGACAAGTACCTGCTCATGTTCATACCATGCTCTTTAAGACGTTTCCCTCAATAAGCAGATCTAATGATTGTTGCAGTTGAAAAGCAAAAGATCTCTCCAGAAAGCCAGGATCACTCCCTCCCCTTTTCAAGCAAGCCAGTTAGAATAGGGTGAGACCTCACCAATAATCACAGAGAAACGATACCTTTTAATGTTTCAGGTTAGCATACTTTCAACAGTAAGCTGGAGTAGTACATTTCTGATCGCTTGACAGACTGATACATAAGCCTGGGTAGATAAGAAATGCCTCCCCTCTCTATAATCCACTGCCTAAAGTTGTTTGGTTCAGTTTCTGTGGGAACAAATTTAAAATACCCATTTTGTAAACGGTCCACTTACCAACAATAGACCAACCTGGCCTCTCTCTGCAAGCTCCCAGTAACAGAGTGATGGCAAAGTCATTTTTTTTTGCTGAAGATGAGAACATTTTGTACCATTCTGCAAAGGCTGAATGTCACGCTTAGTCTCAGAACATCAGTCTAAAGTCTCAGGCAAATTAAGAATGGAACAAAGACTAGAACCACAGTGTGCTGGTTTTGGCTGGAATAGAGTTAATTTTCTCCATAGTAGCTAGTATGGGGCTACGTTTTGGATATCTGCTGAAAACAGTGTTGATAATACAGGGATGTTTTGGTTACTGTGAGCTGTGCTTACACAGAGTCAAGGCCTTTTCTGCCTCTCACCCCACCCCACCAGCGAGCAGGCTGGGGGTGCAC